ACTTAAGAAGTTTCCCAAATATTACCTTACTTCTATTATTTACATTCCAGCTTATTGCAGCCTTATGCTGCATATGTGTTCGATTTTTCGAAACCCTTCTCTTTTTTCCCCCTCCTTACTCCCTCTCGGGAACTGCGGTCAAGACTCATTCATGTGAGATGCCCATACAAGATAACTGAGCCGGACTCTCAATATCCGTCTGATATTGTAATGTCACTGTTGTTACGTACTGTTATTGGAACGTAGGTTTGTTTCAAAAAAACGATATTGTAACATTTGCGAGTACAGTAAGACCCCGCTTAACGCTGTTTCGTTTAGCGCTCTTTTATTTCAACCCGGAGATTCTCCGATACTTGTGCCACGCTAGTTTCCAAATAAGATCCGAAACAGTGTAGTTGTGTTTTGCTTTGGGACACATTTTTATCATTTGACACATTTGTTGACATTATTTGGTTTAAATTTGTATAATACTAACGTTATACAGTGACAATATTATATCTTAGTTTTTTCATGGGTATAATAAAACAAAAAAAGCAGAAAAGCAATTTCACTGGAACTCATGCAAGTGATTAGAGATTAGAATCGGTGAACGTCACTTGTGCATTGATTTGCAACCAACTAAGGACAATTCTTAGTAAAGAAACCGTACGTCGCGCCAACTCAACTACGTCCTCGCAACTATCAATTACCCTTCTCGAAATCATTATAGAGATGGAAAACACTGTCTATAGATTGACGACGAAATAACGCAATCATTACGCAATCTATCATTATGCCTTCTGACAAAGGCAGAATTGGAAACCCAGAATAGACGAATGATTGACTGAGATTTTATTTTGTTTTTTAAAGTATATGCGTTTATATTGTTTTTATTTTTGTAAAATAAATGTTTGATTTTATTTTTTTAAAACAATTTATTAATTTAATGCCTAACATTTTTTATCCGTCTTCCCCTACCCCCCCTAGTTACATGTAAATAGCCTCGCTTAGCGCTGTTTCCCATTACGCTCTACTTCGATGGAACGTATCCCCCGCGTTAAGCGGGGTCTTACTGTATTTTATCTGTAGCTCTTTTTGTGATGTTCTTATTGTAACCTTCTCCGGAAATTAAATGATTCGCCTCATTTTCCCTTTTCTTCTTCAGGGTAATAAAATTAGTTAAAAAATGGAAAAAGTAAGCGAGAATAGTTAAAACGATATTTCAAGCTTCTCAACAATCATAGTTTCAACGACATTTCAGGTTTCTTAACAGTCAGTCGTAGTTAGAACGGAATTTCAAGCTTCTTAACAGTCAGTAATAGTTACAACGGTATTTCAAGCTTTTTAACAGTCTAGTTAATACGAAATTTCAAGCTTCTTAATAGTCATTTCCTAGTTGAAACGGAATTTCAGGCTTCTTAACAGTCAGTTATAGTTAGAAAGGTATTTCAAGCTTCTTAACAGTCAGTCTCAATTAGAACGGAATTTCAAGCTACTTAACAGTCAGTAATAGTTACAACGGTATTTCAAGCTTTCTAACAGTTCACTTAATACGAAATTTCAAGCTTCATAATAGTCATTTCCAAGTCGAAACGGAATTTCAAGTTTCTTAACAGTCAATCATAGTTAGAAAGGTATTTTAACAGTCAGTCATAGTTAAAACGATATTCAAGCTTGTCAACAGTCAGTCAATTTTTATCTTCGTCTTGATCATAGTAGAAAGGAGGAGATAGTTAAAGGTAAAAATTGTTGCCCTACCATATATCAGACTGACAGACCAAGTACTCAGTGTCACGTACACTTACCTCTGCGAGTTGTCGAGTCCAAAGATTTGTTTGTCGCTGCATGAATGAGATCAGTTCTCAAGTAAAGTGGAACAGCATCGATGTGCAGTAGCATAACTGGCTTCTGGTTTTACGTTGACGTCATTTGTAAATTCAAAACCCGACACAGAGAGATTGATGGACATTTTAGCGTAGGCAAATTTTTGTTTTGTTTTCTCGAGAGTTTTTTTTTTTTTTTTTTTTTTTTTTTTTCCCTGCACCTGGCAAAGCAACAAGTCTAACGACGAGTGCTAATGTAAAAAAATAAAAAAGAATTGTCACTTTTCATGAAGGAAAATGGAAGGCGTCAACAATTGTAAAACTACAAGAAGGAATTCTCTGACCTTACGATCTATAAAGCACTGGTCTAGGAGCGCTTTCAGCACAAGAAATGTTTGAAAAACTCAAACAAAACGACAAGCTTTAAGTCTGTAATTGCATTTGGCAACACGATCCGTTAATAGAATTGTATTCTACTGTCACCTGGGTCGTGTTCTTAAAAACTTTTAACTGGAAGCTATTGCGAAATGGGATCCTATAAACACAGAAACGCGTTTGTTTCAGAAGTAAAAAAAATTCTAATGCGAACAGCACATGATTTTCTTGTAAGCGTATTAAATTCTACACATTTTGTTTTCTTTTGGTACTTCATTTAAGCTTATTTCCTTGAATTATTCTAACTGAACTAACCAATCCTTCAATCAAGGCAAGACTTCAAACTAATCAAGGCAAGATATCAAAAACTGCAAATTTTTAAATGAAATATTCCCGTGAATTTATATTGAACGGAAGTCAAACTACTTGTACTTTTATTTTTACATAACCAGCATCCAAATTGTAAATAAAATTTTCCCAAATGTGTAAGAACAAGGAGACTGCATTAAAAGGTAGATTTTGTTATTTATCCAAAATTGAATTTTTTTTAATTTGAAATTGCCCAAATATGGATATTTTCATCATTTAAAACGCTTCTATAACTGGAGGTATATGTCTACGACCAACGATTGCGAAAATAAAGGCAGTGTAAGGACTTTTAAGCCGAGTAAGCGGGGGTGGATATACACACTTGTGGGCAAAATTAAGAGACTCTGTACATTATGTCAAATTACGGAAAAACTAATGCACAGATTTTAAGAAAAATTTGTTAGGAACATACATTTATACCAGAGGAAGACATAAAAGTCATTGACTTCGTCAAATCAAAATTTTTCTATGAGAAACAAGAAAATGATTGAATGTTTTTTTAAAGAGGTGCTTTAAGAATTAAGTTTTAAACACTTTTATGTCAAATAATATAAGAAAAAACATGCTGGAATATACAAACGTGGACATCACTTTATTTAAAATCTGCTATTTTATTGCCGAGAACTGTTTATATTTGTAAAATTAAACATGCAAGTGAAAAGTTGGGTATCCCTGGATTTAGCACGTTTATAAAGCATTTAATAAATGTAATATTATATTAAGAAAATATAATAAATATAGAGCGTTTATAAATATAATACAATGAAATAAAATATAACATATAAAATATAAATAAATATAAAAAGAGTAAAACATAATAAGCGTTTATAAATAAAATGTAATAAATGCAAAACGTTTAATAAATATAGCGTGAATAAAATATAATATAAATAAAATATGTAACAAATATAAAGCGTGTATAAATAAAATGTAATATGTAGAGTTCCTCCCTTTGTAATTCTAAGTTAATGTTGGAAGTGAAGAATCTTAAGAACTGATAAGCGAATAATCGCTTAAGTTCGAGTGACAACGAGATAGAAGGGTAACTAATCCTTTATTATTCCAATAAGATTTAACAAAACTCCGCCTGTGAGTGTACAAACAAAGCCGACACTTAGGCTTGAACTTAAGGGACTAAGAATTAAACTAAAACTAAGATTCACTAAAAGAAATATAGCCGAAGCTATGAAGATTCAAATCGAGTTGGCCTCTTAACTTATTTGACTACGAAGCTTAGCAAGGGCCTGAGTACGGCCGAGCGTAATAACAGCTTTGAGAGAGAGAGTGGCAAAAAAGGCAGACGCGCGTAAATCAGAAACTGTGATTCTCTCTCACTCTGACTGACTGACTGATAACTTATAGCCAGAATATAATTACTGACTGACTGATAACTTATAGCCAGAATACCACTGAGATCAGTAGTTTATCTGGTTCAATCAAATTTATACCAGATGGGCACAATAACATAGAACTATCTTCACATAATGTCCGCCGTAAGGAGGAGCTAAGACGGATAAAGAATAGGAAGACAAGCAAAGAAAGAGCTCACTAGAAAGTAACCGGCGCGGTAAAGGCATGACTAAGTGGAGTCATATGAGTGTGAATGTGAATAAAACTAGTGAATTTAAGAATACAGTACAATAAATGAGTAAGATACAAAATTAAGAATGCTAATAAACACATTAGGTACATTATTACAGGTGGGACTAGGTGGGAAAGTCGAGTCCTGTTCAGGTGGCCGCAAGTGGGCCAGTTGGCGTCCTCATTCATATTTCGTAGGTAAATATCAAAATTTCTCATATGGTCACAGTTCAAGCTTTCGTGAAGAATTTCCTGTTGATCTTATTCAGGTGCTCTTTTAGAGTGTCCAGTTTTAAGTCTCTCACACTGTAAGTAACTTCGTGGTTTAAATACCGCTCCTCCTCATTAAATATTCAGCAAGATTCTAAAACTACGTTCTGGCCGGTAGTAGTAAGTTGAAGTTAAGAATTTGACAGGAAAGAAATTTTAACTTAAAATTTAACTGTTAATAAAATTAACATAATCCTTACATATATCTAAATATAAAGCGTTTATAAATAAAATGTGATAAATGTAACGCGTTTAAAAATAATACGTTCGTAAAGCATTTAATAAAAAGAATATAAATAAAATGTACAATGAACACAAAAAGTGTTAATTAATATAACAAACGTTTATAAATCAAATATAATAAATATAAAACAATTAACGCTAAAATTAATTAAAGTTAATCAGTTGAAGAAATTAAATATGCTATGTGATGAAAGTGAACTACATGTATGGAACAGAATTAAATCGATTTTTTCTGCTTAACAAATTAAGTAGAATAAGTATCAGTTCTTTCAGGGTTCATTCTTCCCTTCAAACCACGGAGTTTATTAACAAATATTCCTAAAACTTGTCCTAATTCATGAAAGGTATTTTATTTTTCAGGATTCTATGAACTGTGATGGACCATTGAACTCTGTCCTGAAAGCTGAACGTCGTTCACCGAAAGTGTAAAAAATGGATGAAGAAATAAAAACCTAAAAAGGAATAAAAATGGCTCAAGTTGCCCAATCTCCTTTATCAAAAACAGATACACATCAGGTATGTCTCGAAACTCTTTTACTGTCCTTATAACTTTTCATATTGTTTCTACCTAATGTAATCATAATGTATTATTTTAAAAAAATTAAATAACGAAGAACTTGTATACTAAACGTATGTATGTTCCTCGCAATGTGGAACACCCATGCCAGCCAGAGCCACCGAATTTTTAATATACGTAGTTCTTCATCCATAAATCGGCACTTCGAAAACCAAATTTTGACTTTTGTATTTGTTTCTGATTCATTTTATATTTTGCACAAATTTTAAGAATATTTGTTAATAAACTCCGTGGTTTGAAAGCGAGATGTGGCAACACTGTTCGAAATAAAACATCATCTTCGGCGTCCCAGACTGTTGCCATTCAGTAAAAAACTTTTTAATTTGATTGATATAAATAAAACGCACTTAAATCGTGAGTTGTCTTTTTCGAAACATTAAATATTTTTATGATATGACACTAACTGGATTTCTTAAAATCATTACAAATTGTTTTCCTTTTTACTTCCTTATACGAAGTAAAAAGGAAGTATTGTAAACGCGTAAAGTTTCAGGCAGCATATTTCAACGAAAATATCCATTTTTAACCGCTATCGAATGCAATTTAACGATGTTTTTGCGTGATATCTGTACGTAAGGACAGAATAAAAGACTCTTTTCCTTCAAAAAAATAATAAATAAAACTGCTTTAAAATTAATTCTGAAGAGAATTTTTCGTGGCGTCTGTACGAACGTATGTACGTACGTATCTCGAATAACTCAAAAACGAGTAGCCTCAGAACGTTGAAATTTTGTATATAGGACTGCTATAACATTTAGATTGCACCTCGTATTTTGGTTGCAATCGGCCGTACCAACGTATATAAATATATTTATATACATATCCACTCTATTACCGGCTCAGTAATCCAGTTTCTTTACTCTTATATGTTTGTAAATTGTACATTTTGCTTTAAAATGATTGACTTGTTGTTTTTATCTTCTGGTTAAGGATTTTATGCCTTAATCTGTGGAAATCTGTGTGCAATATTTGTAGAATTATCAACAATTTGAAAGTGTATTGCCGCTAAGCTTTCTTATGGCGGCCATTGATGTGTACATTTGAAACGGAGACGAGTGGATTTGTGCTATCTAGAGAACTAGCTTCGCAACAACAAAGATAGCATTCATTTATTATTGCCAATTAATCTGCTTAATTCTTTCTGGAATTTTTCGAGGAAAGCGTTTGAGATTTACTTCGTAATTTTTAATAAGATATTTTGAGTTTTTATTATTTTGCCTCTCGCGAGTGAGAACTGAATTAATTAATGAAAATACTCAACGTTCTGTGAAACTGTTTCTGTTTTGTATTGTTGCTTAATTTCTTTTATACATAGTTCTAGCTTTATTATAGTATTTGAATAGAACTGTGGCAACGATAGATAATTCTTTAAATGATACTTTTGTGCATTCTGAGTTATAATATGAATGAAATATCTGTTAAGTGAACCTAGCGCCAGAGTGTCGCTATGGTAAACAATGAATTTTAAAGAATGCATTTATTCTATTGTGGTTTTATGCGCTGTCGGCGAAGTAGGTTTAATTCATAGTAGGTTTAATCTAATAAGTTTAAATAAAATGAAAGAAAAAATGCGTATAATTTAATATTCCTTACAAGGAAGTCATGTGATGTACACATCAGATTTTTTAATACCTCTTTTAGACGGCTGGTCTCTCGGGCGATAAGTTTTTAAAGGAATATTACAGCGAATGTGAAAAAAAAAAATATATATATATACGGCAGCCGCTAGCACCCTATCAGGAATTTCTAAATTATGCTGTTTTTAAATATTTCATGATTTTTCTCTTGAATTTTATGTGTCATAAACACTGAACATTTTCAGATATTACGTTAATTTATATTTTATGACTGTCTTCAACAGAAATTCGATAAAGCCAAAATTGGAGATGGACAAGACATCAATAATTTCCTGTCTCAACAAGAAGCGCTGCGAAGAGCTACGTTGCTGAAGCATAGAAAAGTTTCTACGCAATTAAAAGTATGCTTTATCTGTTATTTACATCTTTCTGCTACAGTATTTATTTCGCGAATAATTTCAGTTGTTCAAAATTACTACTGATTTGTTGACGTATAAAGAAATACTAAATACATATAGATAAATATTCAAACTATTTTATTAGTTATATCCGCTCTTAAAATATTAATTCTTTTTTACTTTATTAGTATTATAGAATTATTAACAATAAACGCGGATGTCTCGTAAAACATGTTAGCAAAAAAAAAGTTTCCAAAGTTTATACTTCGTATTGGTTCCGACAGATGGCGCCACCAAAAACATTATTGCTTTTAATCTCAAATAACTAAGTTAGTCATTGCAAAGATGCTTCTCAAATTAGGAATACTTTGTGGTAAACGCTTGGAAAATCATTTTGAAAGTTTACTGACACTTTAAAAACTAAAATTTTTATAACAACTTTAGAGTTAAAAATGTTATAAACAATATTGTGTTTGGCGGCGAAAACTAATATTTAAACATACAAAATTATATAAATGGAAAATAATGAGATTACAAATTTTCATGTGGAGCTAAATGGAGAAGAAAAATCTTTTTTTGCTGTAGATGGACTATGTGATTTCAGCTTGTTACATCTTTTTATGACTTCAAAACTTTTGAGTGTAAATTGCGAATATGAACTAAATTATGATCACAGTTACATTAAATAAAGAACTCCTCGTTAAGAAAGAAGTATTTCAGAGTTTTATTCCCGTTATTTCTAGCTAAAACCAAACAGGGAAGCGGAAGGGCGATCCTTTTGAATTTAAGTGGTTTATTCTAAAATACATCTTCAGAACAAAGCTCCAAATATTCTAATACAACTGCGAAATTTTCTTGCAATTGTTGGAAGTGTTGCTAGTTGTGAGAAGAGTTTTCTAAATAAAATAATTTAAGAACTATATGTTTACTTCGCATTTAAAAACAATTTCTATACTATTTATATAAGAGGACATCAATTAAACCTCCACTATATCTTCGATGATTTTGTGAACAAAAAAAAGCAAGCAGAATAATAATGCAATTTTGAAACATCGCAGTTAAAGATTTTCTTCAAAAATAAACGTAGAGTTTTAAATTATTTCTCTATATGTCATTTTGACACTTTTTTAAGTTATTTTTTAAGCATATCGAGAAAAGCGGCAATTTCAAGGACCTGCTCTCAGCTGATAAAGCGAGAAGCAATTGAACAAATTTTCCACATTTGAGAATTCTCTCTTTTATTATAATGATTTTCTTTTTAATTTGTTTATTAGTCTGGAAATAGTTTATGGATATATTGTATACTGGTTATTTGAGAATTAAAAAGTAAATATGCGTACATTTAAAACCAAACTTTTTAATTTCAAGAAGGTTTTGTTGTTAGGGATAAGCTATAGATGGCGCCACTAAATTTGCTTTTGATGAGTGAGTAAAGTAGCTATTATAAAATAAAAATAGATATTCATGTATAATATACTCTTAAATAAAAAAAAAGTGAAATTAACAGAAATAGAATAGAATTCAAAATTAATTTTTCTGAGCTATACAACGTACATACAGACGCAACAAAATATCCATTATGAATCCATTTTTAAACCAATTTACAATCCGTTTTGGAAAATGAGAGCCTTTTATTCCGTCCATACAGAAGTCAAGGTAAAAAAAAAAAAAAAAAAAAAAAAAAAAAAAAATCCAGATAGATTCGGGAACAGTTAAAATGGACATTTCCGTTAAAATATGATGACCGAAGCTTTTCGCGATTACGTTCTTTCTTTGCTTCGCACAAAAACGTAAAAAGACGCACAGGATTTCAGTATTGGCACATGGCCAATTCGTAAATAAAATTGTAAATTAAAAATGCTAGTAAATCACGAAAGAACATCACAGAAGAAAAATCAGCCACGCATATTCTTCTAATTTACTTATTACCCAACCCCTCAATACAAATTTGAAATAATGTCAAAAATGGAAAATTTCGAAATTATCTCGGTAAAGGTTTGTTCGTTTGGTTATTCAGGAGTCAGGCATTTAACGAGGTTTTTTTTTTCCCTTATAAGCAATATAATATTTTCCTAAACATAAGTACAATAACTTGAAAAATGTATAAAAAGTTATACTGCGTAATTTTTAGAAAATTAATTTTTTTTTTTTAATTTAAAAATGCCAATACTACAGTATTCGAGTCGTTTAAGGGGACTCATACACCTTAAACCCCTTGTGATCTTCGAATATGTGACTGTTGCAAGAATTGGGATATTTTATTTATTTTTAAAGCAATACTTCTTCCAACTTTTACAGCTGACTACATAATATACTGCTTTGGAAATATAACCAGAAAGTTTGTGTGCCCAAAACAATTTTTGTAATTTAATCCTCTTTGTGACAAAATATTTCGCCATGTTTCCACCTTGCGCGCATGATTTTAAAAATGGCTAATGGTACAATTGAAATTGGACGGAATTCTTTAAGGGCACTCTTTTCTAACTGACCAACAACTGATGAATATTAATATTGAAAAATTTTATGCGAAACATTAAAAATTTTTTATACAATTCATTTTATAAACTAACTCAGATAACAAAATTTAACATGAAATTTTTAGAATTTTAGGTTCACAGTAGTTTCCAATGTTTAAAGCTTTATATTAAATAGGAATTAATTATGAAACAGAATGTTTTAAACTGGTGCGCGCAAGTTGGAAACTGACGAAAATGTTGTCACAAAGCGGATTAAATTATAAAAATTTTTGGCACACAAACTTTCTGATTATATTTCAGAAGCAGCTATATTATGTAGTCAGCTGTAAAAAGTTCGTAGTAATTGCTTTTAAAATAAATAATTTATCCCAATTCTTGCAACAGTCACCTATTCGAACATCTTATGGGTTTTAAGGTGTATGAGTCCCCTTAAAACATTTTATAACTGGAAAACTATAGCTTCCGTGATGTTCCCAAAGTAGACTTATCCGAACACAGGCTTGACGATTTTATCACTCCCGGAAATAGATTTTGACCATCGTTCCCACATTTGCCTTCGCTTTCCACTCCCTCGTATAAACGCATGGATGTTTCTTACCTCCATGTATAAAAGCAAAGAAAGAGTGTATTTGTATTTCACCCAAATCTCATGTGGTTCGCATTAATCTGTCTTCAAGGGGGGGAGAGGCATTTGGCCTTCGTTAACTCTCTGGCTGATCACCCCGCTATTTCCACGGGCAACTCAAATGTAGCAAAATTTGCTCATGCCGCTTTTTCCGCGGGCATATGTTTTTCTTCCTTTATTGAGGATCGGATCCCGTTTTTTCCCCGTTTAACTATTGAAATACATTATATACAGTATTAGGCGTTTAGTTTACGTTTTTGGCCAAAAAATATCATTAGTTGTCCATTAAATTGCGGCATTTGAAGGAACGTGGTATTAGCGCTCAAACTTCACTTTTTGCCGCTTTTTTCTTACAGAAATGGCTGCTAGAAAACATTCAGCAATTATCTTAATTATTTAATTAAATTATTGAATTATTAATTAGATTGATCATTAACTAGATTTATTGAATCTGGTGCAAAGACCGTGAAGTTAGACTTTGTCTTGAAACCTGTTTTGAACTCTATCATACTAAACTGCATTTCTACGGTAGTTTTTCCTCAACGCTTATATTTTCTTAAATTTTATACATTTTGCTTTTTTATATTATGCAATAAATATAAATTAACTGTAATTCGACCTGAAATTTATTTTAGAAAAATTTTTTGGGGGGTTTTTTTTTTTTACATCTGAAATTGTTTTTCTGGCAACTTAGTTTCTCATGATAAAAATTATATAAAAAAAAAATTTTTTAAGAAAAAGTGCTTTTCATTCTCCAAATATATTCCAATATTTAATTTAAAATAGCAAAAAAAAATACACAATTTGGAAGCGATTTCGGCCCAATTGAGCATCAGAGGGTTAAAGTCAATTTCTAGTAGAGTTTTTTTTTTTTTTTTTTTTTTTTTTTTTTTTTTTTTTTTT